GTGTTCTCTGTTTCTTCGACGACATCTTGATTTTCAGTGCCACGTTGGAGGATCACATATGCCATGTCAAGCAAGTGCTGGAGCTTCTCCGTAGGGACAACTGGAAAGTGAAACACAGCAAGTGTGCTTTCGGGCAAAGCAAGATCTCGTACTTGGGCCACGTTATCAGCGCGCAAGGGGTTGCAACAGATCCAACAAAGGTGGCTGCGGTGGCAAATTGGTCTTCACCCCAAAATATCAAGGAAGTTCGGAGTTTCTTGGGACTCGCAGGCTACTATCGTCGTTTTGTGCGCAACTTTGGAGTGATCGCCCGACCCCTCTTTAACTTGCTGAAGAAAGGCGTTCCATTCCTTTGGACGTCCATCGCAAAAACTGCCTTTCAAGTTTTGAAGCAGCAGCTCATCTCAGCACCAGTGCTGGCTTTACCCAATTTTGCTCAGCCATTCACAGTGGAGACAGACGCGTGCGACCATGGCATCGGGGCAATTCTGCAACAACAGGGGCACCCAATCGCATTCATGAGCAAAGCACTCAGCCCGAGGTATCAAGGGCTGTCAACCTACGAGAAGGAATACCTGGCAATCATAGTAGCAGTGGACCAGTGGCGCCCGTATTTGCAACACGCAGAATTTGTTATTTACACTGACCAGAAGAGCCTCACACATCTAGAAGAGCAACGCCTGAACACCCCGTGGCAACACAAGGCTTTCACCAAGTTGTTAGGGCTCAGGTACCAGATCAAGTACAAGGAGCTGATAATCACGGCGCGGATGCTCTTTCACGAGCGAACCAAGCAGATACACTGCTCGTGGTCACATCATGCCAACCAAGCTGGCTGGAAGACGTCATCAACAACTACAACGGCAATCTGCACGCGCAGAAACTTCTGGAGCAACTAGCAGTGCGTGACGACCCAAAAGGACGGTTCACGTTTCAGTAAGGCATCATCAGGTTCAGAGGCAGGATTTGGCTAGGGGGGGGGACACAGATCCAACAACATATCATACAAGCTTTTCATGACAACCCGATAGGAGGACATTCAGGATTTCCTGTCACGTACAGACGTACGACGTCTGTTCGTGTGGCCCAAGATGAAGGTGCAAATCAAGCAGTCTGTGCAGTGTTGTTCGGTGTGCCAACAGGCTAAGCCAGACAGAGCGGCCTCTCCAGATCTGTTATCTCCGTTGCCAATTCCCAACAAGCCATGGGACATGATTAC